CGAAAGGTCAACGACAAAAATACGCAAAAACGTTAGTAAGCTTGTATAGGGCGAAAGTGCCATCACACTGTGCTTACTGTACCGAGTACACTAGGCAGTTTGAACTCAAATAGCCAGTAATCGGAGAGAAAGAAAAAGCTTGAAGAAAACATAATAAGAACGACTATTATGAATACTCAAGAAGAAGAATAGGTGAACAGATCAGATCAGATCAGATCATCAGAGACACCAACAGTGTCAATAATGACACCAGCAGACCATTGGTGCTCATGATAACACCAGAGCCCGAGTAGGATGTCTCCAGAGCAGTGGCCGTAGTGCCAATAGCACCAGTGGTGAGAGTAGCCAACGTGGAACCCGTGGATTCCAATGCAGTTGCTGCCTCCAAAATGGTGGATGATGACTCGCCAGCCACGGTAACAGAGGCTCCACTACCAAGTGATTCCTCTGTTGAGGTTGAAATACTGCCAACCTCTGAAACAATAACAGATCCTGATTCACCTGATGTCTCAACACCTGTGATGGCCTCGGTCTTTGTGATGCGTTCTGTTTCAGTACGGGTGGAGATCACACTGGAACTCTCTATCACAAGAGTCTCACTAGACTCCTTAGAAGATGTTGTTGCTGTGATTGCTCCAATACCCTCGTTAGTGCTTTCTGCAGTATGGGAACAACGCTCACAAGGAACAACGACAGTTGCAGTGGACACAGCACCAACCAAATCGGTGACAGTTGTCAGAATCACATTCGAAGTTACAGATGCAAAACTAACACATCCTGTCTCATCTGTTGTAACGATACCAGTAATTATCTCCGTCTTAGTATTTCCCTCAGAGTCAGTGTAAACTGATGTGACACACGGAACTGTTACTGTAACAGTCTCAACAGTGTCACCAATTGTAACAGTGGTGATAACAATACTTGTCACACTCTCATCGAACAATGAGGTAGTAACACCAGTTGATGGGTTACCAGAGGCGTCGGTCGTGGTGTAGTAGGAAACAACAGCAGACTCAGTACCACTAGCATCAGTGAATGTAGTGGTGTAGGCGCTTGGAAGGGACTCAGAGCCAGACTCAGAACCAGTAGTAGATGAGAACAACGAGGTAGTCACACCAGTTGATGGGTTACCAGAGGCGTCGGTCGTGGTGTAGT